TGGTTAACTATGGAGGAAAGCAGAAGTTTGAGAGCAGTGCAGCAAAAAAAATAGATACATCGTTAGTCCCAGTCATTTAGTCCATTGGCAGACTTGACAGAAAATGACCAGTCTGGCCTTGCTTTGCCACAACTGCTACACCTTCTCTTCTGCAGAGATAGATGAAGCTCTGTGTTTGGACAATATTGTTATTCCTTTTCATTTGCATTGAAATTGTTTGCCATCATTGTTTTTCCAAAGGCCTTGGGATACTGGCAACACAGAGAAATGAAAATGTGCACAGGAATGAAAGAAGCGAAGAGAAAGAAAGGAACAGTTCCATGAATCCGGAATCCAGAGAGAAAAATATTCGCACTGAAACATGTACAATAAAGAAAAGCCCCTTTACTGTCCCCGTACATACACCTTGTATGTAAAGTAGATTACATCTTAATAAAGGTAAAATGGTCAAACTGTAGCTAATCTCCAGGCAGAAGAAAAAAAGCTACATTTTGCTCATGTTTGTCTAAACACTGATGTTCTAGTCACATTTATGCAATCCGTCGCAGTTCAATAAGGCTTGTTAACGCAGCACAAAGGATTACAATGGCAATGCAACACTGTGTGCATTGTACTCTATTGTACACTGCTTTGGGGTGCCATTCACAACGAATGGTACTTCAGTGAAATCGCACAGAGTAGGCAGTGTACATTTTTTACGCCCTTTGCCATAACCAACACGTATGAATGGTCCCTAAACATAATAGTAAAAATATAATACAAACTATGATAAATAGTCATCTTATATATATCCCCCATGAGTTGGTCAGATCGTACCCCATACACTAGCCACAATCAATTGTCCATCAAATTGGGGCTATTTAGGTGTCCAGACTACAGTCAATAAAAGTTCTTATTGCTCATTCACTCATGAATATGCTCATAAAATTCACGTTATTAAGTTACTTCAATAAAAACATTAAAACACAAATTACAGCCTTACTGTGTGTTCCAAAAAACAGTATATAGGGATGTGTGTAAGGTACCTGCTGGACCAGCATATTTATCTCATTCACAAAAGTCAACAAATGTACTGTATATATAAAATCCACATGGCTAGAGTTATCATCAATGCATCTATATCGGTCTAGTCTTCAATGTGTTTTGCTCCCACGCTTCTCCAGGAAGATGAGGTAACCAATTATATTAAAATCTTCATACTGGAAACCACACATTTAGAAAATGTAGTTACACCGTCAACAGTGGTAGTGCCATCAGCAGTGAGCATCCAGGGCCACAAAAGGGGATGTTATAGGGAGGATTCCCAACAGGGATTCCGAGACCTGAACCTCAGGGATGTTCCCTCCTTAAGGTGCACAATGCTGTACCCCAAAAGTATCACCACACTTGTCTTGCCATCCTGTCCTGTCTTGCACGCTCCTCTATAACTACAATAAAGCAACAACTACAATACAGAGGAGCGTGCGAGACCAAAGAGGACAGCGAGACCAAAGAGGACAGCAAGACAAGTGTGGTGATACTTGCATAAACCATTTAACCCCTCACAGCTCCTCCTAAAATTACAAAGGGAGAAGTAGCAATTTTAACCCTTAAAAAGCTTAAAAGGCCAAGAAACCCTAAACCAAGTAAAAGCAATTTACACCACAGAAAGAATTTTTTTTTTTTTTTTTTAGCTTATGCTATGTGAATGATATGTAACAAATATAAAATAGGTGTTATTCCAACTTGGCTGCGAAAGTGGAAATACATTTTAAAACCAAATCCCTCCTTTAATCAGGTCTTCCACAGAACCAGAAAAGATATTTACGAACATTATGGTTATTATGCTTTAGCATTTTTTATTATGAGCTTGAAGCCCTATAAATGCCAAAACTTTTTATTCCATTTTGAATAGAGTAGGAAGTTAAAGCCTGTGTAAGGTTTATATTGGTAGCTGTATCACTGTTAAGGAGATTTCCCCTTCACTTCCTGCCTAGGTCCAAAAAAAAAAAGAAGAAGAAATGTTCAGTGGAGTGGAGAAGGAGAAGAAAAGATAACGAAAGGGTAAGTTCAAAGTGTCACAAATGTAGATAATAGGGGAGCACTCAGGCCAGGCTGATAACACACTGCTTGGGAGTTCAGTGCAGTAACAGTGGAGTTTAAGTGTTTTCTGGCAGATCAACAGGTATTTTTCTGTACTTAAAGTGACATTAAACGCAGTCTCCCCCCCCCCATGCTGCTGTGGGCACTTACCTTATCTGATACCTCTTGATCCGATCATATACTTCATTCCACTCGTTTTCCACTGTTCTCCAGCGCTGGTGCCGGTCTCTGATCCACTGCAGACTCCTTGGGTCCCATGGTGTCTGTACGACGTGCGCGCTCCGGGCTGTGTCCATCCAGCTTCAGCGTTGCTCTCCTCCTCTCCCCTCCGGCGATCTGGGCTGCGCATGCGCCCGCCCATAGTTTTCTTCACAGCGTTCGGGGGGCCCTGGACTTCTGCTACCGGGAGCAAGCAGCGCTGACACAGGTAAGTTTGTTGGTGTTGCCCAACTTTTTTTTTTTTTTTTTAATGTTGGGGCATATATCTACTGCTTACTAGCAGTAGATATATGCCCCAAAAAATCCCGGACTTTAATTCTACTTTGATTACAACCTCTAGTGTTTTCTTTAACTTTTACCCAGACGTAGTTGTTAAACTCTTTTCTTTCCTGACAAATGACAAACTGTATCCCTGAATTTGACAAAAAATATCTAAAGACAAGATAAGGATTCTTATCGTCTTACATCCCCCTATGATTATCTCTTTATTTTAACACATAATATGCAGCATGACATATCACTTGGTTGAAATCTGGAGTACACACCTCCACTTCAAACTGAGTTGTCTAATAAAAACTGTTCAAATAAAAGGTTCCCCTCTTATTCGGACATAAAGAATCAATTTGAAATTCAAATCAATTGGATTTTACAGTTTCTTACAAAACATGACATTTTACGTTATCCTTGTCTAGAGAGCCGTCTTTCTGGACGTGCACAATCGTCAGTCAGTTCTGGACACATCCCATCGTAGTCAGCTATGAAAATGAAGTAAACCATCTACTTTGCAAAACTAACTGAGAAACCAATTCTTCCACATCCCACAACCCACCTCCAGAGTTTGTCACTCAAAGATTTACCTAAACATTTGTATAAGCTCATTATGCACATCTTTGAGCTGACGAATATATTTATATAATATAATTTAATACTAAAATGAAATATGATATATTTATGGCTAAACTGGAATTATGCAGCAGAATAAAAGAGAAGATCAGGCTGATGGAATCTCTGGCAACTAGAATTCATATTCACTAGAGAAGCGTAATAAAACTAGGGTGCAATGGGATATTTACCTTTCTCAAACCCATCTTCTTTTTTTTTTTTATTACACTTCCATTTCTCTGCAGCAAGAAAACAAACTGTACAAACTCCTTTCTTCCTCTATGAATCCTTTGATTGTTCATTTTCTGCTCTATTTTTACATGCCGGTAAGTACAACAATTTACAGAATACAATCATTGCTTTAACAGACATTTTACTTATGTTTACCAATTTATTGTGTGCCCTTTCACTAATCAATACTGCGTTTTGGACAATTTTTGTTTCATAAATAAACTTACACAAAAAATGACCGAGGCAAAGACACGAGCAGAGAGACAAATTATGAGACAGTTCAAATGTTCACCTATTTTATTCAAAAGAAGCATTGCACCAATTTAAAGTGGGAGGAAAAAAAAAAACTTTGATGTGTTTCTCATAAAGGATCATCTCCTGTTGATTCCCATTTACCTGTGCCTACTTTTTACGTAATAAACCAACAATTGAGCAGAGAACTATGTGGACTTATTGTTTCGGATTTCCGTTGTACATGATATAGGCTGCCCTATCGAATGACAGTGAGGATTCAGAACCATGAGTGGGTGCTCAACTTATATAGGTGATGTCAAGGTTTGCATAGAACATCACCTGCCTACATCTCTGAATTTTCTACATGTGAATTTTCCTGAAAGTAACCCTCTGCTTATGCATTTTTTAATGGAAACATTTTTCGTGGAAGTGAAACAGTTGAAGTGACATTAAAGTTGAAAGGTTTATAAGCTATTTCAAATGCTGACAAAATAACTTAGGCTTAATTCACACCAAATGCATTGGGGCTGAGCTAGGCGCTTTTTTCAGCACAGTCCCAACGCTAGACAATGCAATTTACCTTGTTATGAATGGGCTCAGTTCACGCCACCACGCTGTAGTGGCATGCAGTGAAAAAAAGTACTGTACACAGTAGTTTTTTCAGATCAGCGGGCTGCAACATGATGGAACTGCTTCACACAGTGCTGTGCCCATACAACTTAATAAAATGTCACTGGTAACATTTCAAAAAAGTTCTAACAAAAAAAAAAAAGATAAACAGTGCAATGCAACGGGATTGGCACATCAGCACTGTGACTGGTAATGCACACCAGTGGCTGTGCATGTAGCACAACTGCTCGTGTAAATGCAGCCTAACAATTTATGCTGGTCTTTGTCATTTAAAAGTTGTAGCTTTATGCAGAATCAGCTGGTCCCCCTGAGCCATGGCCCTGATATACTGTTGTAGGATGGCTTCTTTTCCTTGTAGGGTCCCATGGAGCCACCCTTGTTTATGTGCGGCAAGCGGTGTGGAGATTTTTGATTTTCAGAACTGTCCGATTCATTATTACCCATAATATAAGTTGACAAAAGGAAATTCTCACCACCACCAAGAAAGGTGTATCAGCTTGGCAACTCAATGCTTGCTAACCATCACATTTTTATATAACAAACCATAATAAATAAAAAAAAAATTATAAATAAATTATATATATTTATTACACACACACACACACACACACACACACACACACACACACACACACATACACAAGCCTGTAAATGTGCAGTCTCATATATGTTTTTTCATGCAAAAGCTATATAAAAAACAAAAAAGATTGTGTACTACTCACTGTCTTCCCCTGGGCAGGGCATGCCTGGCTTTTCAGGGATGCTGGGAAACACTGTAAGACAAAAACAGAAATAATTAAACCAAAAGGCATATTCTCAAAAACTGTATACTACAACTGTTTGTGAAAGTGAGGGAAAAAAATAAAGGGTTAAAGGCTCCGACAAATACATGACATATCAGTTTTACATGGAAAGTGGTGTGTCAAATCACACAGTCGCTTTTAACTTTTAATGGACGCTTCCAAGATTTCCTGACCATTATTCATGGCTCTGTTCTTTCCCATGCAGGAGTATTGGGTGCTCAAATTATATTAAAAGTACCCCCATTGAAGTGGTTGTGACAGGCAACCAGATCTAAAAACTTTCCAGTAACTGATAACCACTGAAATTTCAGTTCTGCATGGACTAACTCTTTAAAAGGAGAAGCAGGCTCCATTCCACAGTGTGAATTAGTATGATCCATCTAGTGTTTTTCCTCCACCATTGCTAGAAAATATTCTTCCTAGTGCAATACACTCCCTAAATGAATTACATCTCATTTTAACAGCTGGTTAGAAGGGAAGTTGTGTGATTTTATCCAGTACTGTACATACAGTAACTGGATTAAAGGATGTATTTTTACATTTGCCTGGAGTTCCGATTTACAGTGTATGCACCCTTTGGCACTGCACCACATTTGAAATGGAAAAGAAAAACACACACCTCTGCTGCACATATACTGCCCAGCTTGCCAATGGCTAAACATTGCCCAAGTGCCTCCGCTTCCTGGCAATTTGCACGGTGTACAACACCCATGTCTAGTCCACCTTAATCAATGAAGCATGTTCCAAGTACAACCACTATACTTTATGCAAGTGCCTGGCTTATAAACGTGTTTATGTTCATAAAAATGAATTGCTACCTTGTAAACTTGGTAGTGAATTTGGCACGTTAAATGTGAAACATAATGGCTGTTCAAAAAAAAAAAAGGATCTTTGTACATACTGCAAAATACATCTTTTGAGGTACATTAGCTAGCTAGCTAGCTTTGAAGTGGAATTACCAGTTCAGAAAGACTCTGGTCTCTCAGTACCTGGGCTTCAGCAGTCATGGCGTTAAAGCCACAGAATGTGGAGAAGGTTGGTAAACTATTTCTTGATCAAGCTGATCCAAATCTGATTGTTTTATTGCAAGAGACTGCATGTCTCTGCAATAAAGAGCCTAGCTACCTCACAACTTTTTATTTTTCCGTTTAGTTCCGCTTTAAGAAAATCTTAAAGCATTTGGAGGAGTAAAAAATTTGCCAGGAGTATTCCAGTCCCCATACGTAACAGGTTGAAGTAAGAAGTGTACCAGAAAAGTTTTGATAGTCTTGGGGGCCTTTCAGGGACCCTGGACTGGTAAACGCAGTAGTAGAAGCTGCAAGCTGTTCCATTTTAAACTTGATCTGCACAGCATCAATAAAGGTCGATATAGAACAGCTGCAGAGATGCCAAAGATTCTGAAGGGGAAGGCATAAAACTATACTTACAGCTTCAGCAGTCAGAGTCAGCAATCATATTTGTAAGTTTGACAATCAAATCGAGCTTAGCCGCAGGGAACTTCTCCCTGGAAAGAGCAGAGGAAGGGGCCACAACCAATAGACCTATGGGAGACTATGAGCAGTTAGTTGACTCAGGCAGGAGACAATGATCCAGGCTACCTGTGTCAGATTCCATTGGAGGTATACTGCAGGTCGTCCCAAAACTGTTAGTAAGTTGTGATCTGGAGCCCCTCCATGCTGTGGGTCTGCTCCCCTTGTGCTTGGGATCCAACACATTGTACTCTTTACTTAATAGAAAACACCAGGCAAACTTATGGTTTACTCACAGCCAAGAAGCAGGAGAGATTAATGGCCAGAGATGAAATGGTCACTGTAGGCGGCAGCAAGTACTAACCGAGGTGTGAACTGTGTGTTTCATGAAGATAGAAGCAATAATAGAAAGAAATTACCTCACACTGAAGGAAAAAGGCGGGAACAGAGGGGGGAGTATGCGTGCGCGTGACAGTCAAGCTAATGATGCAGCATTTTGCTCCTCAGCCAGTTATCCCTTTCTGCAGAAATGGAAGCAAGAGGGGAGTAATTGTCATTTTTTACATCACCAAATTGTGTAGTAACTCCTGACTGTCAGCCTGAATGACATACTCATGGGTTGGATCACACCAGAGGCAGCTCTGTACCTGGAAAGCGCTCAGTGGTTAGCCAACACAGTACCCGGAGGTCTGGAAAGTGCCACAGGCAAAGCCTAGTACTTGTAGAACACATTCCAGGCATGCCCCGTAACCTTTGGTCAAGGTACAGCCTCAATGGAGGATTAGCCAATCCAGACAGCTGCATACAGAGCCCAGTTCAGCAGCAGGTAGATGTCTTGATTGAAGAAAAAATTATTGTGAGAAAAATAAAATGGCTAAAAAAGGCGATAAACTTTTCTCGACAAACAAAAAAAAGAAAATACATTTCTCCTAGAACAATAGAAAAAATGAAGCATTCTGGAAGTGGTGATACCTGGCTGGCCAATGTTTTTTTTGTTTGCCAGTGTCCAAATCCCCTTGTAGACGGCAGTACAGCCCAATCATTTCAGAGCTACTAAATCCTGTGTCCCTTAATGAACGATAAAGAAAATCTACTTTGTTTAGTTTTGATTAAAGGGGGGTTGCGGCTGGCTGCCAAAAAAATAAATCACTTGAGTGTGAGTGGCAGGGAATGGCTGAGCTGGAAAAAAATGGCACAACGACCTTAATACAGGAGATCCAGATACGACCAAACATTAGCAATCCGTATTGAATTTTGATTTGCCTGATCCGCTGCACTTTGTAATGCCAGTGGCTTCTGACATAATGTACTTTCCTACGTTCCGCACATCCGGAAAGGTGGAAGTGTAAAGATGTACACTCTCTGCAGAACATCAAAAGTAATTACATATGCAGCAGATGTTGAACAAAGCCAAAAGCAAAGAATAAATCGAGTCTCTGCAAATAACAAAGGAAGTGTGAAAGAAAGATCTGCTCAAAGCATCCCTGCATGCAGAACAGATAATGAATTGTTACTACGTTAAAAATGTAGATCTTCTTTAAAAATAGTACTCAGCAAATATTCCTGTGATATAATTGTCTACCATGATTGGTATTTTAAAGAGGAGGATTTATTAAAATATAAAAATGTAACTTTTCAATCTATTTCCTTTGCTATGCAGCCAGTCAGTTCATGATTCAGGAAGTGTCTCTCATGCAATATAGCTGCTTCACCCTGAAGGGCATGGCGCCCTTTTCTAAACCTGCAATCATTTCTCTACAGGATTTTCAATACTTTATAAAAATAATGTTTTATTAAGTGTCCAACTTTCCTTATGCTGCCAGCTCTATGTATAGACAGCTCCAGATTAGGGGCTCATGTGCAGCTAGTAAAACCTTAATGTGTTGCCTTTGCACATGTGCTACCATCCAGACATTCATTACATGGTTCTGGTTTGCTGCCAACCAGGCATTTACTACATACAGTATTGACAGTTTTAGGTTCATGATGACATTTTTTTGCCTTTATGATATTATAGTAAGGAGTTAGTCTTCGTATAATATGTGGCTCAAGCACTAAGAAGAAAAGGTGTTCCGATGCTCCATTATAAAGAAATGGAGGCACCTAAGAGGGAACATGGGCAGTACTGAAGTATCATAACTATTAACAAAAATGTGTCTTGTTTGTGCATCACTTGGCTGTAGATCCTCAAATCAGCTCTGAATTCATGCTGACACTGTCCTTCCTTCTGGAGGGTGGCTACTTTTGTTCCCCATGGTCCCTGTGTCTGTTGTAAAGTAGTCACCGCTCCAAGCTCACTCCCGTGATGGACTACAATATCAAGTTAGTAAACTAAATGTGAGATTGTAGTCCCTTGTGAGAGCAAGCTTGGAGTGGTGGTTACTTTACAACATACACAGGGACCATGGGGAACAAAAGTAGCCACCCTCCAGAAGGAAGGACAGTGTCAGCCCCAATTCAGACATGATTTGATGATCTACAGACGAGTAATACACAAATAAGACACATTTGTGTTAATAGTTATAGTAGTTGAATGTATTTTTAAGATTTAACTCCTGAGTTCAGTGTTACTTAAAGTACAGTGAGAGGAAATATTTTCAAAGTGAGGGGAAATTCCCAACAAGTAGCTACCACCAGAAGGAATTTCCCAACGGAAAGATTTTCCCTCCACCTCCTGCTCCAGTGTCAACCATAACATGGGTGTATTTCCTATCACTTTCTATGTCTGTGATAATGGTCATCAAATCAAAATTAGAGGATAAATCTCACCAATGAGGACAAAGACATAAAACCTGACAGGGGTTTCTCTTTCTTCCCTTCTCGATCCAAAAGCCAAAAGATGACTATTTAATCTCTGACTAGGGATGCACTCTAATTACTTTTTCTTCTAGATTTGCTTTAAAGCCTATCTCAAATCTACCCCCAAACTGAAAAGGGTTAAGTGATATTTAGTGATATTCTTAAGGCCTATAGTGGCCCTTTAGGTTTTTAAACCGCAGCAGCGGTCTGAGTTCCAGCGCTTCTGGGAACCTCAGGCAGCATGCTGGGGACCTGAACGTAGCTTTCCTTGGCAGTACCTGTCTGGTTCCATATCTTCTCCTCCTTCCCGCCGCAGCTCCACACTGCACCCCAGAGCCGGCACTCACCCGACCAACTCTCCACCCACCATTTCATGGCGGCACCCGCCCGATCAGCATAGCCACTACCTGCAGAGCCCTGGGGAGATCCACATGCCGCCCTGGTGACATCTGTACGCAGCCTGGTGAGAAACAGCCCTAAAATCATCAGTCTGTATTGTTTTAGAAAAAATGTCATGTCCCTTTAAGAAAAAGTATTGGTAACTGGTATCGGCAAGTACCTGAGGGAAAGTACTTGCACGTGTACTTGGTCTTGAAAAAGTGGTATCAGGACATCCCTAGTTAAAAATGCCATTGTGCTGCTTCATGAGCAGCGCTGTTGATTGGTGCACTGATCAGGGGGAGCATGTCGGACCATGGGAGAGCCAGGCTGCTGGCAGTTATTTCTCTCAGAGTTACAGACAGGCAAATATTTGCCTGAAAGTGAAGAGAGGATTTGCTGCTTGCAAGACAGTATGTTTAAGTGACTGAGTTGCTTCAAGTTATTAGTTAAATGGAATTTTAATAAATTGCCGAATTCGAGAAAGTCCGATACGTGCTTGGCCTCTTTTCTGAGGGACTGAAAAAAGCAATACCGGCGCCCGCGGTTTGCAGAGAAATCCGGCTGCAAAGTTCATTGGTACACCATAGAGGCAGCTCCCACCGGTCAACAACGACCATCGATCTGGGAAACAAAAGCAACACAGAGCGCCTCCATAGTGTAAAACATTTATTTGATGAGTACAACACGCAAGTAAAAATGTACTTACACGAAAGCCAATGATCATAAGCGTAAAAGGAAACGATAAAATATAAAATCTCCAGCAGGGGAAGTTTGAGGGGATCTCCAAATCAGCATCCTCTGCTCCCGTATGTTTTAAAAACACCAGCTGTCTGCCTGTCAGACGGAAGTCAGCAAAAATCTCAATTACTGGAGATTGGCTGAAACACCTGTATCAAAGACTAAACCTTTATGATTGGTCGTCTCCCAAATAAATAAAAGAACAGGACTTAGGAAAGTTACCTCAGGTTCTGATGAAGGGGGCGTGGCCCTGAAACGCGTAGACCTTTTAAAAAAACATACGGGAGCAGAGGATGCTGATTTGGAGATCCCCTCAAACTTCCCCTGCTGGAGATTTTATATTTTATCGTTTCCTTTTACGCTTATGATCATTGGCTTTCGTGTAAGTACATTTTCACTTGCGTGTTGTACTCATCAAATAAAAGTTTTACACTATGGAGGCGCTCTGTGTTGCTTTTGTTTCTTTTCTGAGGGCACCTTAAGTTCTCTCCCCCTGCCTCCCATTCCCTGATACAGGATATTATCAGATCTATATAAAGCAGAAAAGATTTTATACCAGGCATTTTGATTTGCCCCTTCTCTTCCGTTTCATGAGCCAGTGCTCAAGAGCAATCACAATACTGAACTGGCACGCAGAAAGGGGAAAAAAAAAAACTTATCACATGACATTTAAAAAAAAAAAACACAATGTTGTTTTAATTAATATATGTATATGAAGTTCTTTAAGCCACCAGCCACACTGTACCACCCAATGTAACTCATTCCGCCCCAGTAGCACAGTTTATAATGCGATACAAAATGATGACCTGGTTTTCCTTCTGAAGATTCTTTATTCTGAAGGGCATAAAATCCCTCTTGTCACTTCCTTACTTTTGTGATGGCTGTGACATACTTGGCGGCTTTGAAGTGTTCGAATGATAATATATTGCTCTTTCAAGCAAAACCTTGGCACTTGGGACACTGTTCATGTATAAAGAAAAAAGGCTTCCTATTTTGTGCAAGGCATGAACAAAAATCACAATGGCCAACCTGACATGTAGTAGCAGGCCAGAAACCATTGTCGACCTATCAAGCTTGTCAAAAGAAATCTGTATATAAAAGGTGTCATTCCGTCTAAGGCTTTGGGCTAAAGTCCTACAAACAGTGAGTGTGCATCTAATGCAGAGGCAGACTTAAGCATTACATGAGAAACTTTCAGGCTACAAAAAAGCATTTAGAAGACCTAAAACAGTTCCTCTGCCCTATATAAGAGACCAGCTTCCGCAGCTGCATATACTCACTTTTCCTTCACTCCCCCGCTGCCAGGAGCAAGGAAGGTAAGCCCTGTGTAGAGCTGAGAATTCTTTTGCCAACCCCATGTGGCGGTGCTGGAGTAGAAAATATTGGGTGGGCAGGAGATAGGCCACTCACAAAGACCTGCTATGCTCACTTCAATGGTAGGAGAACCGCAAGAGGCATTCCTTATCACCTAACTATTCTTCTGGTCATCACAATCCACATGTCAGGCAGAGAGCACCACCACCACTTCCTCTCAGAAGCCCTTGTGACAACTACATGCAGCTACTATTTTCCCCAGCCCTTGGATAACGCAGACCACAAGAGAGATCAGGGAAATACTAGGAATGCCTCCCGCTATTGAGTACTTGTACAGAGGACAACAGACACGGAGGATGTGCCACAGAAGTGGATCAGACGTTGTGGACATGCTGCAGGACAGGGTCAGTCACTGGGCAAACACCACAAGAGATGGCAAGACACCGCAAACACACCACAAAGACGGGCCAAACATGCTGCAGGAGAGATTTAGACACACTTCAGTAGAGGGTCAGATACTGTGGACATGCCGTAGGGAAGGTCAAACGCTACACATACGCTGCAAGATAGGGGAGGGCGATGGGCAATGCGGACATGCTACATGAAACCTTTACAGATCAGTTCTTATACATTTATACTCCTCATAGCTACTCCTAAAGATCGCTCCTCATATTTCAAACTATTCACAGCCCTTTACAAGTTAAAGCCTCCATATTTCCTTCAGGCTAGTTTTGCACTATGGCGATTTGTGACCGCGCGGCAATCATGCACGAAACCGTGTGGATGGTCGCGCGTTGACGGAATCGCCCACCACCGATTGCGCTGGTGGTGCCATTATTTTCTAATAGTACCCCACTTGCGCCAGGCAGATTGTGCAGTTTCCGGCCGCGACACCACCTGTGCACGATCGCGGTTTTAAAAAAAAAAGCACAGTGCGTGTCAACAAAAAAAAAGATACATGTACCTTTTTTTAAGCGATTGACACAGTTGAAATCAATGAGGCCGTGCAGCAACCGCTGTGTGCACTCGCACATGATTGCGCAATCACAGGATAGCCGATGTGTGAACCTAACCTTAAACATTTCAGTGTCCACCTATTTAATTTCCTCTGAATAATTAATTCAGTAGATGACAAGACTGGAAGCAGCATACATCTTGGAGCCTAAATACAACAGGATATATGTCACTATCCATGTGTTCATCAAGCTCTTTTTAAAAAGCAATTATTAGAATGCTTGGTCCATATAATCTCAGGCCCAAGCTAATGATGATCCTCAAATGCCACAAGAACATTTACAGCACTTTAAATAACATTAGACCTATCCCCTACCAAGCTGTTTTATCACCAAACCCAACACTGCTGTATTCTGCTCCAGCAGAGGTGACTATGTAGCATGCATGAAGTCACATGCTGCTGCTCCGGCTAGGAGAGGGTGACAATCTTGCCAGGATGATCATGCAGGAGGGTAGGTGGTACTGGATGGGTGGCAACACTGTCTGGCCTGCAGGCTACACAGTGATAATTTGGCACTTACCATGAATGCTGAGGCCCTCCTCCTTGTATGTAGTATATAGACGGAAAGCTTCTTCTAGTTCCATCTGGGAGGAAATAGTACAAGGATCGCCTGATGAAAAGAGAAAAAAAAATTATTAAAAAGAATAAAATTAAACAACGCACATGTACAAAAGGATGATTATCAAATTACAAGCTGATGAATAAATCACAGATTGTAACAATTTCTTGCATTTCACAATTCACCAGTAACCTGCATCCTCACAACACTAGTAGTCATCAGTGGTTCTTAACCTTTTCACAATTACAGACACTCAATGGCTTGCCCAATATGTCCCCATGACCACTTCACTAGACTGCCAAACTCGCCATCATCTTAAAAAGGTACTAGAATTATAAAATAATAATTTAGCTCATCGACCACAAATCTGATGCTAAAATTGGATACATACAAAAATAATGAAGGTTTACAAAATATAAAAAAGGTAAAGTTTACATATTACAAAAGGCATAAAAGTGCTAAAATTGAAGCTATAAATCCACAAAGTTTTAGACATGAAAGAGTACTATTAGGACTGCAACTAATGATTATTTTCATAAATCGATTAGTTGGGCAATTTTTCTTTGATTATTTGAATAAAAATAAATAAATACCATCCTTAATTTAAAATAAAATACACAAATGCAGGGTAACAAACAAAGTTTACTTCAGACTAAAACCGCATGTACGTTTTGCAATGGCACTGTACCTGAATGCATTACATTGTGGTACCGTGCGTTCCAGTGTGGACAATCACACTGAGGGTGGGAGGCACATTTGGGGTTCTATTGAAATGAATGGCACTGCAACGCACCTCCCACAGCAGAATTTGTCACGCCGATATTAAAAATGACTTTTTCCCTCACCTTTTATCATTTTAAAAAAAAAAAATTGTATTGTAAGCTCATGGTGCTTGAGTAGCTTCAGCGAGGGAATGACAGCTGCCAGTGGAAAGATTCCACAGACAGCAGCTGAATGCAAATACAGCAGGTAGTGGGCTGGTGCAATAGCCAGCCTGCTATTGACCATTTCAAAAATTGCAATAGCCAAGAGCAGGCAGACTATTGCACCCGCCCACTGCTTGATGTACCTTCCTCCCAGCGTGGAAGCGACAGGTAGGGGATCCAACCAACTAATTGATTATGTGAATAGTTGACAACTACTCTCATTATTGATTATCGATTCATTGGTTGCAGGTCTACATAATATGCATAATGTTGTTAAATTTGTTTTATATATGTTGTATACACAATATAATGGAAGAGATTTTATTGTAACAAAGAATCCATTGAGGTAGCACCCGAAAAGTCCGATTATTTTTTAATAATACATTTTGCTTGTTTTTTTCACTTTTTTTATTATTACTCGGAGATCTAAATACTCCATCATTTGGTTTCAGTACTAACCGTAAAAAAAAAAAAAAACCCTGCTCTACTTAGAAGTTAGTGATCGCAATAGACATCTAAGAAGGATGAAAATAATTTTTTACAATGGAACTTTCATTTTTTGATGGGCTCAGACCTGCACTGCTTTGGAAAGCAATGGGGGAGCAGCCACATACTCAGGAAACACCTAATGCTCTGCACGTTTTTGCAGTTGCAGGTCATAGAGGTCTATAGTAATCCTTAGATCAGGCATTCACCAGATAAAGGCTGTGGACATTTGTGTAATTAAATAACATAATTTCTAAGGTTTATTCTCTTTGTTCACCATAAACCGTTCTCTGAAACTATTTCAAGCATGAGACCATAAAGTACTGAATGAGCAACTTGGGGGTTTAACCCAAAAAACAATGCATGGAAGTGTTCCAGTCAAGTGACATCCAGTCAGAGCCTTCTATGGAGAATCGAGTCACCCTGCCAGGTAGGCTTTTGTCAGCCATCATTTAAGGTGGGCGTAAGCTTTCATACTCTGCATATCTTTATAGCAATTTGATGTGTTGACAGGCGTTCAATCAGCTGCTTGAATGGTAAAGCATACCTGGAAGATTAACAACGTCATTTTTAATGTGTTTCGCTTTCCTGTACTTTTCATCAGCTTCTCACACAATTAAAACACGTGAAAGCTTGATGTGAAACACAATGGTGTGAAAAGATGTTAAAGAAAAAACAACCAAAAGACAGTGATGCAAAAAGACTGCTGAAATGTAATATTTACTAAAACAAACCCCATTTTTATTTAAAAAAAAAAAAATTGAGAAAAAAAAATGTAATATATATGTCAGAAGCTGGCCATAATATCCAAACCAAAATATCAGGTTAGCTCAAATGGCCAATTTCCTTCATATCCCTCACTTTTGTTTTTTTTTAAATAGCCCTCTGTAACTTTTTTTTTTTAAGTAGTACAATTCGCGGGAAGCTGTAACCCAAGCCAACCAGATTTAGGGCCTGCGTCAACTGGTTTTTGTTCGCTTTGTAACCGTACAAGTCTATGGGATTGCAAAACCATCTTGAAGCAGATCAAATGCAAAAGCAATTAATTCTAAACAATCTCAGAAGCTTCTTAAACTGATGTCAAACTGATGCCATTGACACAAAGCCTGTTGACAATAAATATTTCCAACGGGATGCCAAGGTTCACAGCAGTCTGCATACTGTACTCTCACTTCTAATAAAATCCTATACAGTATAGAATAAAATAAGTCCCCATTCACATGGGGCTTTAGGCTGCAGCTTGGAACTCCAGCAGCAACAACCTACAGATTACTGCGACAGGAATCCCAGCTAGGTCTGCACAGATGCGGCTTCTGTGACTATTCAGTTAATGACAGGCTGACAATCTCCATTCAGGAACAATCATATATCCCAAACCACAGGTAAGCATTTCATGTACGATAACATGCAGACTGCCTCTGACAGATATGGCCACTGTCAGCCTGTCATTACCTTGAACAGGCACAGCGGACACCTTTGAACACCTGGGATTCCTATCACATGAATCCGTAGGCTATTGCCACAGGAATGAATCCCCAGCCAACAGCCCCATGTGGAACACATTAAACAATACATTTCTTGTAAACCCTATATCAAGATAGTCCGATATCCAGATATAGAGCCCCAAAGCCCGTGGCCGATTATACATGGGGACAGGCTGTGGAGTCCTATATCTTGGTCCTCATTTATACCACATTATAAAGGCCTAAGGGTTCCTGTGGGTTAAGGATTATTTATTACTCGTATTTATTACTGGTATTTATATAGTGCCAACAATTTAAGCAGTGCCTTACATAGTTGCACATTCACATCAGTCCCTACCCTAGCAGAGCTTACAATCTAAGATCCTTAGAGAAAATAGCATTCCATGCATCCAGGGGCAGATTAGATATGCAGAATGCATCTAAACGTGTCTTAATATGCTCACACTTGGGAGACTCAGATACATAGAGTTAGGACAAACTTTGCGGAGGTGCCTTGGCGCGGCAGTGTGGCTTCTACATATTTTTGGCCAAAAGTTTGTGCAACTAAAACCTCTGATTTTAACGCATACTGTTGACAGGGCTACTTGTTTGGTTGCAGGCTGGCTGGCAGGTTGGGGCTGGGGAATTTTTGTGTTTTGTATTGTAATATCTAAACGTGTCTACCTGTGAACACAGGAGAACCTCATCTGAGAACAAATTAAATTTTTTTAAATCCTCTAGTGTTTAAATAAACCAAATGCAAGAGGCTATTGTGAATGTAATCCAAGGCAATGCTTTTACTGGATGGTACAAGACATAAAGCAGAACTAAAGCTGCCTATACTAACATCCCCTCCAGGGATGCAAGATCCATGAGCTCCCTTGCTGGCACCAACATCTTTAATCAGTCTTCTTCCGAGATTTTGGCATGTTCAGCCATTATGAATAGCTGGCCCAGAAGGACATAACATAGCTGAGGAACCGCTTTTTGCAATGAGCAACTCTGGTGGGGCTAGTTGCTGCCCTCTTTCAGGCCACAAATGGCGTTTTAGTTCAGCCTGCAAAGCAAATTAGGGAATAACATTTATGTCTGCTGAAAGGTGTTTTCCTTTAAGACAATTTTGCACAGGCCACACATCCTTTTCTATCTTAAAAAGAGTTAAAGTTTGATGGAGTTATATCTTTGCTCTCAACTTTCAAAAATTACATAATTATGCAATTTTCCTTCTGTAACTCACATAGAGCCAAAGCCAACACTGATGTTCTTGCACATTTAAACATCTGTTTCACTGCAGAAAACGAAAAAGGAAAGATTTCCAGGAGCGCAAACATTTACACGAGCCATTGTTTAAACAAGTCAGAGAATGATCTGCAAAACATGGTGCACTGCATCACCAATAGGATTTCACATTGCATTACTCTGACTACAATTAACTTGTAAAGATTACGTCTGGTTACTGCACACCAGTGCTCTACGCATTATTTTATGCAATAAGGTTTTTATTAGGGATGCACCTATACCAGTTTTTTGGTATCAAGTACGAGTACCAATATTTTTTCCGGTACTCCCCAATAACTAATACCGATGCCGGAAGTCCCATTAAGGAAGCCAGGTGGCGTGTAATGACTCACCGCTGGCTTCCCGATTAGCCGGGAAGCTGTCTCCATGCTCCCTCGTCACCAGGTGATGAGGAAGTATGGAGTATGAATCAGGAAGCCAGGGGGTGGGTAATGACTAGCCGTCTGGCTTCTTGATTCTCCAGCTTCCCGACCAATATGGAAACTGGGCAGGGAGTCATTACACGCTGCCCGGCTTCCTGATTGACCTTATGATCAAGTGACGAGGGAGCATGGAGCTGGCTTGCTGGCCAATCAGGAAGCCAGGAGGGGCGCGCCATTAGCTGCCCCTTGGCTTCCTGAATGGCCGGGAAGCCAGCTCCATGCGCCCTGGTGACGAGTGAGCATGGAGCCGGCTTCCCAGCCAATCAGAACGCCGGGCAGCGTGTAAGGACTCGCTGCCTGGCTTACTGATAGTGGAAGTTCTGGTATCGAATAGGCATCGGGAGCATGTGGGCAAGTACAAGTACTCGGCCAAATACTCGGTATGGGCACAGATACTAGCATCGGTATCGGTGCATACCTACTCAAGACAATACAATGTTGCCAGTTAAAAATAA